CTTCTATAAGGTGAACTAGCCTACACACCCAGTGCTTCTTTACTCTTCCTGGGATATGGACTCAATTAGGGCACTGTCCTTTCTCCCATTCACTGTTTTACACCATCTTCTGTATTCCCTTTGCAAAAGCTACTTCATCCCTGCTCCTGTGCCTTTAATTGGTTCTCCCTTCCTAGAATTCCACCTCCTTTTTTTACTTACAGCTTAGCTACATCTCTTCTATGAAAAACCAGTTCACACTGACTCATTTCCTTTCCCTTCACACCCTTAAAAGTGGCATACAGTTATAGTACACTTATACTCTCATTGTTTTATGTTTATTAATCTTGACTTAGGGAAGAAACTATATTTATACATTGCCTGTAGCCTCCACCGTACCTAGCATAGTCCAGAGTATATAGTAGGAAGTCAGCACATATATATTACCCAGTCAGTTTCTTACTTGGTATAATTAATTAATAATTATAACTATTACTTATTGATAAAGCATTCTTTGCCATGTATTTTTCTGAGTATTTTATACATAATAATATGTGATTTATTTCTCACAGCAACTCTATAAGGTCATTTTTTTTTATCCTGAATTTGCAGATTAAGGAATCGTGTGGCTCAGTTTAGTTGCCCAAGGTGACTAGTTCAGAACTGGTATTAGAATTGAGGTTTACCTTGCTTTTAACTATTCCAGTAGAAGTACACTAGAAGTAGGAAACCATGGGTCCTTGAAGGAGCTAAAGAGACAAAAAATGTGGGTTTATGGAACAATTGGAAACAAAAGTGAAGTACGCACATACCCACACACACTTACATACACATAAGCACTGGGAGGACCCTAAGTAATCAATGGATAGATTCCAGCTTAATTTTATGATTGTTTTCTTTTTTTTTTTTTTGATCTGCAAAATTTTATTAAGCAATAGCTGGACAACTTTATGATTGTTTTCTTAAAAAAAAAATCATTGTCTGAAGTAGGTGTAGGAATGAAGGAAGGGAAAGGGAATAGGAATGCAATATTTTAAGTAATATAAAGAGTGGAAAACCTAATGATCTGTGGAGTTGGGGAGTTTTATTTTATTTTTTTAAAGATTTTTATTTATTTATTTGAGAGAGAGAATGAGATAGAGAGAGAGAGAGCATGAGAGGGGGGGAGGGTCAGAGGGAGAAGCAGACTCCCTGCTGAGCAGGGAGCCCAATGCGGGACTCGATCCTGGGACTCGATCCTGGGACTCGATCCTGGGACTCGATCCCAGGACTCCAGGATCATGACCTGAGCCGAAGGCAGTCGCTTAACCAACTGAGCCACCCAGGCGCCCCAAGTTGGGGAGTTTTAGAGATTAAAATAAACCCCTAACACAAGAGTTTCAAATTAAGAGTAAAGTTATTCTGCAAGACAAAACAGTTATTCTGTTAGTCTGGTTAACCTCAAGAAGTGAGTGCTCTCTTTAAGCTTTAGCTTTTTATGTGTAGGATCTCCAGTTTGTTTCTCATGTTTAGAACAACCTAACTTTTTCAAAAAAGTACATTTATCATAACGCACCTTATATTTAACTCTGAGTTTATCCACAATCTTTTTTTAAAGATTTATTTATTTATTTATTTATTTATTTGACAGAGAGAGACACAGAGAGAGGGAGCACAAGCAGGGGGAGTGGGAGAGGGAGAAGGAGGCTTTCCGCTGAGCAGGGAGCCCGAAGTGGGGCTCAATCCCAGGACCCCGGGATCGTGACCTGAGCCGAAAGCAGACGCTTAATGACTAAGCCACCCAGGCGCCCCATCCACAATCTTTTAAAGAAAAATGTTAGCCAGATTTTTGTTTAAAAAATTTGTATAGTTAAGATGCAGATACACACACAATTGTAGGTGTGTTTATCATATGGAAGTGAGTTCTATAGTTCATAGGATGCTTTTTACTTCCAGTGGCCTTCCAATTGCCACTACATTCCATGACCCTTCCCTCTCAACAAGGTCAACCAGTGGTTCTGTGATTGTAGAACTCACTCAATACACATAACTATTGTTATTCTTGATTTTGCTTCAAGAGCGTGTAATAAGTTAAATAAAATATCCATCATCACTTGATTCCCTTGTTTTTTAAAATTAGGCAGCACACACACATTAATCAGCACGCATAGATAAATGAACTTAATTTTTTAAAAGGTTGTATTAAAATGAGTCCCAGCAACATTTTTTTTTCTTTTTGGTAAGTTGCCCACCCTTACGTAGTAGCCAGCTATGAGAAACACGGTCAGCTTCTTTAAAACTACTGAAATTTCCTTTTAACTTGTGAGTTAGCTCGAATTAGGAACCAGAAGTATTAAAATTTCTGGTTTATTTTACCTGTGTAGACTTGAAGTGTGTTAGATTCTCTAAGATTTGAGACCTTTTTAATGCTTCTGTAATATAATGTAAATTTAAGGAACACATATATTTCCACACAAAATAAAATGTATTAGAAATAACTATTTCCTACTTCTAAACCTTGGTGAAGCAGGAGAAAGCCAAATATGAGGAATGGGCTATGGGAGATAAGAGGAATGAAGAGCTACCCACTGTTAACCATACTCTGATGGACTAATATGCTTGTGACATTTTCATCATAAATTACTTTAAATCTTTATAGTCTTTAAAAGTAGCAGCAAAGTGGATGATAGCATACTATTCTTGTAAAAATATTTAAATGGGTCCTTCTATTTTACAAATTTAGTTTTTTCTACTCAAAAGGATCCCTTAGGACAGTTTAATTAAGATAAACCTTAACTTCATAGTTAAAAAGATAAAAATAATGCATTTATTTGAATGAGGAAAGAATGTGTATGACATTTTTGATTCCAAGTGTATGCCATCTGCAACCTTTACATTCAATAAAGTGTTTCAGAGTATATATTTATGCTTGTATTTTCAATAGTAGTTCTTATATTTCTTTGGAAGTTGGGGGTCTGTCTATAGAGATTGATATTTAAGCATTGAATCACCTTTTGTGAGTGATTGGTCCATCTATTTAATTATCTAAATAACACAAATAGCCAATATTTTTCCAAATTATGAAATAATTCTTTAATAATCAAATTAAAATTTTGAATAATTATTTTGTTCACATTTTTCTTTTTACCTACAGATATTAAAATATCTTATGTCAATCTTCAGTAATTATGAAGCAATCTTATATTTAGTATATACTAAACCACTAATATGGATTGTTAGCTTTTAGGAATAATACCCACTGAGATAATTTTTAAAGACAAGGATATAATATATAATACAACATGAAATTTATAATATATAATATAGCTATACAGCCTATTTTTAAAATATTTTTAATTCAGTATATGTAATTCAGTACATGTATTTTACTGGACAAAATTTTAATTTGCAAAGTCTATCTTGGGATATTGGTTATTTTCTCAGTAACTTCATAAACAGTTTAGGATGAGGATAAAAAAATACTACTTTTTTGAACTGTAGAAAATAATACAAAGGTTTTTAACACAAGTGTGGGAAATGTATCAATTCTGATACTTAAAAAAAAATGATAAACTCCCAGTCATTGTATTTGACATCATATCCTTTTACTCAAATTTATGCAATCTAAGACTTATGAATTAAATCTAATTTTTCTTTCTCACAGACTGAAATAAAGAATACAATTATTCCAATGTGCACACACACACACACACACACAAACTTGGGGAGAAGGAACACTCATTGAGAGTACAAATATACTCCTCTGGTGTTTCTTTGTCAGGAATATATCTTATGTTAGTTGTCATAAAAACCCCATAATTTTATCAATAATTTTAATGATCTGATTCATTTAGACCATAGTATCTGGAAACTGTGAACAGTGTATATGTATTTTCATGTAAATATATGCCTGCATTTAGTTTTCAATATTTTATTTCTAAAGAGACCCCACTTAATCAGGGTCTCTGGCTTATTCTGAGCAGTTTTATCCTTTGAAATTTCTTTCAGAGAAAAATCAAGATAAGCTGTGTCACAGTACTTTCCTTTGAGAGCTTTTATCTTTAGTATCAGTCTTTTCATTACAGAAGTTGTAACTTGCATATGCACACACACATGCATACACACACACACACACACACGTTAATTTCTTTTCTATCCAGATCTTAAAATTTTTGTAAACAGCTAATGGAGATGAAAAGAGAATTAATCTAAACATTTGAGGTGAGTATTTGAATCTAAAGCAACCTCCTTGTTTAAGATACCATATCATATGACAATTATTATCAAAGTGAAATTTTCTTTTATTAAATTTATTTGCTGGTTTTTTAGTAAGAATTACTATGTGGTGGCTTAGTGGAAAAGTGCATGTTTCAGACAGTATTCTTAAAGCCCTAATCCTCAAGATAATTTCAGGTTTGTCTGTGTTTATATATCATGACGTAAAGTGGACTTCTGGCAAGCATCCAGTTAATTTTTTCAATGTAGGTAGACTGACCAGATAATGTTCTTCAAATACTCTTCTTTCATTCCCCCTCAATGGCTTTTAAGTATTTCTATACAACTAATGATTAGAAAAAAAAAATTGTTACAGGTGCCCATTGCAACAAGTCAAAAAAAAGAGGTGTACTAAACTTAAACCAATATGGATACTAAGAAAATTACTTTGTATATGAAGTTGCATTCTTCTGTAACACATTGTGTACATTTTAAAATACAGCAAAAAGAGGTCTTGACCAAATAATATGATATACCTGTCTTCCCTAGACATTGGGAAAGAGTAAGTATGAATGACTGTTATTTGTTTTGAGTCCCTGGACATCCTGAAGCTGAAATCCTTCATATGTGGTATCTGTCATTTCTCTCCAGAGAATGAAGTCATGAAGGTTGAGGTGACAACTTCTTTCTTTAAATGTTCCAGAGCAGTAAACAAGAACACCCACAGGAAAACTACCGCATCTGAATAGCGGTACTTTTGAGAGGTGCATTTATTTTATTACTGATAGTCTTTTGTCTCTCTTTCTCTCTCCCCTTTTCTCCTGTAGCAGTTGTATGCTGCCCAGCTAGCTGCAATGCAGGTATCTCCAGGAGGAAAGCTCCCAGGCATACCCCAAGGCAACCTCGGTGCTGCTGTATCTCCTACCAGCATTCACACAGACAAGAGCACAAACAGCCCACCACCCAAAAGCAAGGTACCCTTTTGACAAAGCTACATGTCTTGCCATTTAGAGTTTTCCTTTTCATTCAACGACATTTATTGAATGTCTGTTATGTGCCAGCAACTGGGTTAACCTCTGGGTCTTCAAGGAGAATAAGAGTCTAGTGGGATTAATAAGGATCAATAACACACATACATTTAGCCATTCCTTTATTCAACAAGCATGCATGGATAGCTATGGTAGGAAATGTGAGTGCTACAAAGATTTAGATAGATATGCTACACTCAGGTAGCCTACAGTCTTACAAAATAGATACCCATATTCTATGATACAAAGTCTTACAGAGTTACAGGTAAGTGCAGTGGAAGTTATCGGGACAAAGATGTTACCTTCAATGAGAGATCCTGGGAGGGGTTTCCCAGAAAAGGGGCAACTGAAATACACCTTAAAATATATGAGTACATCCATGGCATATCAGTAACTGTTATAATGCAGTGCAGTATGGATATAAGTTTAGATATTCATCCAATGAGGTTTTCATGAAAGATATGAAGATAATAATAGTATTAGAAGTAAGACTATTTAGAAATAGTTTTATTTTGGGAACTAAGGAAGCTTTTTTTTTTTTTTTTTAATGAAGACTGACTCTCTGGGCTTTAAAGATTTATTTATTTATTTTAGAGAAAGAGAGCACGAGCAGGGGGAGGGGCAGAGGGAGAGAGAGAGAATCCTCAGGCAGACTCCCCACTGATCGTGGAGCCCTACACTGGGCTGAATCCCAGGACCCTGAGATCGTGACCTGAGCCGAAATCAAGAGTCAACTGCTTAACGGACTGAGCTACCCAAGCACCCCAAGGAAATATTTCTTGAGAGAACATGGAAAAGGATTGGCAGGGAGAGTATTCAGATAATTTGTTCTTCGTCTTAGAAGAGAAAAGCAGAAAAATTTTAATTTGAAATGTTTTTGTGTTTGTAAGATCTTAAGATCTTAAATGATGATATATGAATATATTAAACTCTCTGTGAAAGAAGGCAGAAGAGTAACCATAAAGTATTTTTCCCTGAGATTACTCAGGGAAATGACAACACATATTTTCTATTAGAAAATATTAAGTAGAAAACTGACATAGTTAATTTGGCCCCAAAGTAACAATGTCTTGTCTTTTGCTGAATTACCTAGAAAATTATTTCTGTTCTCCCTTTCCCAAATGCTATATTGGAAATACATAAAGAGTAACAGGGTAACAGTAGTCTCAACAGTTGAAAGGAATACACAGAGAAAAGAAATTTAAAAAGTATTGAAAGAGAAAAAAACTCCCAATAATTTATTTTTAACCCTGCTCTAGTCCCCTGACAGATGCATTACACAGTTAATGTATTAATTCAGAGGGTGAATTGGGAAAGAGAAGAGATCATTTGGGAAAGTATACTCCAGCATCCATCTCCCCAAAACTCTTGAGGCCTTTTCCGTGTTATTAAGAGGTAAATACATTTGAAAGTACAACTTAACCTGGACAAAGAACTCAGACTTTGACTCACCAGGAATATGTACAAACACGTAGTTCAAATTATTGTCCCCACTGCTGGGATATTATGAAATGTACAAACTCACTTTTTAAGATCTATTTCAGCTGTGTAATGGACCTCACATGTTCTGTGCTTAATGTACACCAAAGATCTGGTCCGCTTTTCTTTATTATCACAGTAGAACATAGTTTTTAAAACTTGGTAATAATTATAACATTTGTTAAATAAAATTTGATTTTAAAGCAGTGATATTTTGGGGTCTTCATGGACCAGCAGTTTTAATGTATTGCAGGTACAGGCTAATTTTGAGTGAAATAAATACCTGTAGCAGCATTAGTCACTGTCACACACAAATAATTCTGTGAGGTATTATTCTGTTTTTTTTTAACCTTGATTTATGAATGTGATTTCACATCATGTTTCATAATGACGCTTTGCATTAGGACATTTCATTTTATGATTTTAGAGTATATCCTTTACTTATAAATAACTAATGGGATTTTTTCCTTACCTCTCAAATAACTTTTTAACATTAGTATCTTCTCCCCAAATTACTTACTCAAATAATCATGAAGGTTTTGATGTCAATCAGCCCTTTATGAGTCTATTCATTCATTCATTCATTCATCCATTCAAAGGTTTGTCGAGCCGTTGCCACAGTGATGCTTTTCTTAAGTAACTATGGCAAATGCCCAAGTGTTTGCAGGTTAGCTTTTCCAAGACTGGCACACTGCTTTATGGAGTTCTGTGGCTCTAGGTCATAGAACCCTATAGACTAGGTGCAGAGCAGACAGGTTATCTATCTTAGTGGGAATCTTCTTCCATTTTCTATAGTTTCATATACCTCCATTTTTCGGTACTAGTGAAAAAGTGAATTATGTTTCCATACCTATGGTTATACATGATTTTAAAGCATATTTTATAGTTTATCTTTAAAATTCAGTAACTTTTTAAGTTAGCCTTTGTGAATATTCTATCATGTAAAGTTTAAGAAAGCTGTAGGTGTTGTGTTTCTTCCCATTTACAGTTGGGTAAAATGCATAAAAAGTTTGACCAACAATAAAGTGCCTCTTTTTAGGTAATAACACAATTTAATAAAAATATGTCCCTTTGCTCAGTGTCCACTATCATACTGTCTACAACCCCTCTTATTGTCAGAAAAGATGTCTTAAATGTGCTTGTGTTTTAGCTCAGCGGTAAAGTTTAGCACATTAAAAATAGACCAGTAAATATTACTCTTGTCATTTTAATGAAGAACGTGTCCAAAAAGACAGTAAATAAGGAGGACCCATTTCAGTACATGAATTTAGTTCCTTGTAGCCTGAAACTGACATTTATACATGGCATTATAAACATTTTCACTTCACAAAGCTACTTTACTTCTATGAAACAGCTATCCTTTATTGTTATACTTACATTTTTAAACAATCAATTCTTAGAGTCCTGGGGTATTTTCTGTGTGTTTTATTGGTGAATTTTCATGTCTATTTTACTATAAAATAGAATTATTTTATCAGTGGGCTTTGTGTGACTGCATACCTACCTGGCGTAAACCAAACTGATGGTTTACGTTTAAGATCTATTTATTGTTTGGAACAATGGAATTGTCAGCCACGTCCAGGTGATGATGTAAAGAAAATGATCTTATTGGCAGCTCTCAGAAATCAGCCATGTTCTCTGGGTTTTATTGCCTGCCCTTCTTCCTAGGTGTGCCTTTGCCTTTGACTCACAACTCTAGAGAAGGACACAAACAAAACTTATTTGCAATTTGCAAAAAATGGAAGGGGGGAGTCAAAAGGAGGGGGCTCCAAAAGACTGTAAAATTGTACAGCGTGAGTCTCTGATACATGCTGTTTTCAATCTGCTGTGTGCCAGTTGGAGGCTTGGGGAGTGTGTGCACGCACGAGAAAGGATAATGCTGAGAAATGATAGAGTGGCTGTGACCTCCAAGCTCAGCCTGGAAATCCAAGACATTGATTTCACTTAGCATTCCTGCTGAGAAATCTGGCGGAGTTCAGTTGTAATAAAAGAACAAGATTCTGTTCTAATGGTAATGGCGTATGACAGACATATCACTTTGTCTGTCCTCAGCACCGGAGAGAGGAGAATTGGAGAAAGGTCACCTGACCTGCCTGTGGTGTTGTACGAGTGCTGTACCAAGCTTTGAACTGCCGCCTAGGAACATAATTATTTATAATATTAAATGATAAAGAAACCTTTAGAGGGTTCACAAGGAACCTCTAAAAACGGCAAACAGGAATTGTGTTCTGTAAATACGAAGACACAGAAAGAAATCTGGTCTCTTCAAAATCTGCATTGGAGAATATGGGTAGCGTTGCGTGTTGAGTGATATATCCTTGAACTTACTGCTTATGAACTATTTTCATTAATACTTAACATATTGTCATTGGTTAATCTTTCTTTCTTTCTTTTTTAATGCCTTAATTTTATTAGGAAAAAGCCAAGAATCTGTTTTGCCAATGATTAGAATATTAAGGTCATCAGCAGGTTTTTTTAAATTTCTCAGGTGTCACATAAAACCCTTTTTAATACATGTACACTTGTCTCTTTAAAAATTAGTTCATTTTTTCCCCTCTGGATTCTACTCCAGGACCATTCTTTTCATTAACCAACAAAAAGAAATATATTTTGCTCTTCAGAGATATTATCGTAGCTCCTGTGTGTCCTCACAGCTAGTTTATTGCTGAACATTGGTAAATAACTTTGAATGAAAGTAAGAAATCATGAACTTTTGTGTATAAGGGATCTTGTCTAAAGGGAACATAAGAAATACTGTCATATTAAGGAAAATTATTTAGTTAAGGTATTGTTTAGCTGTATTGGTCCTTAAATCTCATATACAGTATTGCTGCCCTCAATCTGTTTAAATTCCTCAACAAATGTTTAAATTGATTTGTTTATAAAAAAATAAATAAATTGATTTATTCATAGTTTAGCGTTTTGCCACAGGATGGATTAATGTATTAGTGACTTTCTATTTCCCACCAACATATTTCCTTATTTATAAATGACTTCCTGAATTATTTGTTGCGGTCTTTTAAAAACCTAGATAGCTTTCTTTGTGATAGTAACTAATCTCTTGATAACATTTGTTTTGTAAGAATAAATTATTCCTTTAAAAAAATAATAGAATCAAGGTCAGCCTTAAAATAGTTACCATAGGAGGAAGAACATTTTTCCTCAATTTCAAACACCACCTACACAACTGTTGGTAAGGAATAGACTTATAATCCCATGTCACTGAGGAATTCTCATATGTCGTAGATGTGCTGACCATCTGAACTATACATTTTAAGTGATTTGCCATTGGGAAAGTAGCCACCTCTTGAAAAAATTATAAGAGCAACTTGTAACTACTATTAAATGTCTCTTGGCATTTGATGAAAACTTGTATATTGCCTCCAACAACCAAGAGTAGTTAGTTTAAAAAGCTGATGACAAGGGAGAATTCCTAGGTGCTTTTCTTTTACTTTTGCTCTGACCCT